GCTGCTCGTATATCTTCTTTTGAGAAGTGTCTATTCATGTATTTTGCCCATTGTTTAAAGGGGCTGTTTGTTTGTTTGTTTGTTTCCTTTCGGCACGTTTGAGTTCCTTGTAGATCCTAGATGTTAGGCTTTTGTCGGATAAACAGTTGGCAAATATATTTTCCCATTCTGTGGGCTGTCTCCCTGCTCTCTTGATGGTTTCTTTTGCTTTGCAGAAGCTCATTAGTTTGATGAGATCCCACTTGCTTATATTATTTCTTAAAGTATGGACATATCAGGAATTGGTTTCCAGTTACAATTTCCATAAGGGTGTCTGCTGTGTTTTCTAAGATTTTTGTAGTTTGAGGTTTTACATTCAGGTCTTTGATCCATTTAGAGTTAATTTTTGTGTATGGTGATAGGTAGGGGTCCTGTTTCAATCTTCTGCATGTGGTCAGCCAGTTTTCCCAGCACCATTTACTGAATAGGTTCTCCTCTCCCCAGTGGTTGCTGTTGGAGGCTTTGTCAAAGATGAGACACATTTTAAAAGAATATAATTAAATAACAATGCTCTTAAAAATGTGAAGTCAAAATTAGCATTTAGCATTTAAGGACTCACCAGTGCTGGTGCTAGGATGAGGCAAGTGAGGCATTTACTTTGAGCTCAACATTTAAGGTAATAGAGAACCCAGAATTCTCAGTAATCATGATGATGAGGCTTGAGGATAAGGAAGCCATCAGAACTTCAGTCATTCATTGGCAACATGGTCAATGAAATGGCAGAAATGGTGTTGAAAACATTACATGTAAAGGTAAGCAATTAGTCCAAGTTGAACTGGCACATAATCAGGGTAAAAATGAAGAAGGTCTTCAACCACTGAAAGGCTTAAGTTGTTGCCAGGTTACTCTAGAGGTCTTCAGGGAAGTGTAAGAGGGGTAAAAAGAACAGGAAGAATGGAAAATAGTTACAGTAGATAAAAAGCCCTAAAATTAGTTTTAACAGCAGAATGGTGATAAAGCTAGATTTATAATTATCTTAGTCCATTTTGTGTTTGCATAACATAATAATACAGACTGGATAACTTATACAGAAAATAAATGTATTTTTTTATAGTTCTGAAAGATGGAAATTCCAAAGCCAAGGGATTCACCTCTGATGCACACCTTTTTGCTGCATTATCCAAGGATGAAAGGCAGAAAGGCAAGAGAGCACAAACAAAAGAGAGAGGGAAGGGGGTAAACTCATCCTTTTCTCAGAAACCTACTTTAGTGAAAACTAACCCACTCCTACAATAACTGCAGTAATTTATTCATGAAATCATAGCCCTCATGATTTAGTAGCCTCTTAAAATTCTTGTATCTCAACATTGTTGCAGGGGGACTGAGTTTCCAACACACAAACTTTGGGGAACATATTAAAACCATAGCAATAACTGAAGACTCCTCATCCACAGTTGAACATCTTTGCTCTGCAAAATTCTACATAGGTTTGTTAACCAAGAAACATGTTGTAAGAGTTAAAAACTCAAGAAATTAACATTCATTTAAAATTTCACATAGCTAATTTACAGTCCTAACAAGCAAATTGAGAAGTTGGAAAATTTCTTATAATAAATTTAGACAACATATTAGCATATTTATTCAAAAAACGAATATATCTGCATTCACAACATTAATAAAAATGTATTAATATAAATTCCATTAGACTAGCCCTATATTGAATAATTTTGTGAACCCAGAGAAAAAATTGCCACAGGTTATTTTTTAGGTCTACACGCATGCAAGCTAAGATAATAAAAACACTCATATCACTTACCATACCCCACTTAGAATTTATAAAGATAAAAATAAAACTCAACTGGCGTACTGACTGGTTATCTATGTAGAAAGAACATATAAAGTATATCCCTTCCAAAAAAAGTAACTTTGAAGAAATTATAGTAAAATTTTCTGTCTTCCAAAATTATAACTATCTGTAGGCACAACTAATACCTCATATAACAAAGACTAGAAACTGAATATTTATTATTCCAACACTTCACATTAATACACTTTAATAACAGATGAATTATTCAGTCAGTTATGAACTGGTTTCATTTTAAGCATGTTTTTTATTATTTAAAATTACAAAAATATGTCTTTAAAATTTTGGTCTAAAGACTGTTCTAACATTGATTAGACAAGGATTTAGTTTTACATATCTCTCTGACATAAAATGGAGAGTTATAAAGGCTCACCTCCAGAAAGAAAAATGTAGGCTAATGAAATGTCCTACCTAGGGATCTATTATAGATTATAATCTCAAAAGGGATGATAGCATTAAAGAATTACAATTCTGCAATCCCTAAGGGACTAATCAGTGAGGGTGATAATCTTGATCAATTGCAACATTACCACAAGAAAACTAGCACACAGTATGCATCTCCTAATGTATACACCATCACCTCTGAAGTGGTCTTGCCAAATCAATACACCTTAATCTGAATAAGCTTCCCCTATAATTTTTGAAGAATATGATGCTGAGTGTCAGGTACATTGGGTTATTATCCAATTCTATGTAATACTGCATATGATTGAGAATTGAAAATTTTATTTTATATAATAAAATAATTTTATTATAAATATTCCGCCTTTAAATGCGAAAAACCAAGTAAAAAAGAAAAAAAATTGACAAAATACAAATCAATAAATAGGTTCATAAATAGAAAACTTTAATCAGACAATACAAACTGAAACTGTAGTCCAGCCCTAAGTACTCACAATAGCTTCCAAGACCAGCCAAGTGTGGAAGCCCATTACACAAAATGGTGGAGAAAAAAAGCATCACTACATTAAGTAAACTCTTACAAACCATAGATGGGAAATTATTCTGATATTTTAACAGGTCAGCTCTCCTTGACACAAAAACTAGATGAGGAAGCCACAAGAAAAGTGCACTTGAGTCAAACTCACTCACATCAAGGAAAATATTCTAAATAAATTTGTAGCATATCAAATACAGCTGTGGGCCGGGCTCAGTGGCTCAGCCTATAATACCGGGCTTTGGGAGGCCAAGGTGAGTGGATTGCCTGAGCCTACAGGTTCAAGACCCGCCTGGGCAACTTGGCGAGCCCTCATCTCTACAATAAATCAAAAAATTAGCCAGGCGTGGTAGCACGTGCCTGTAGTTCCAGCTACTTGGAAGGCTGAGCGGAAGAAGGATCGCCAGAGCCCAGCAGGTCGAGGCTGTGGTGGCCGGGAGCATGCCACTGCACTCCAGTCTGGGCGACAGAGTGAGACTTCAACTAAAAAAAAAAAAAAAACAGCTGTGAATAATACAGCAGTGAAGAAATAAGGAAATAGGTTGTGTCTAATAAATGCAAAGATCGTATCACATTAATTCACATTAAAGGTGAATTGGAGTTCACCATGTTAACAGAGAAGAAAAACATTTGATCATGTGCAGGGGTCAAGAAAAAGCCTTTAATATTAATAATAATTCAACACCAGTTCATGGTAATAACTTGTAGCAAACTTACATTACAATGGAATTTCCATATCACAAAATTACCAACAAACATACATAAATGTCAAATGCTAGCAGCATTCCCAATAATCCAGAACAAGACGCAGAGGTATAGTGCCAACTCTAATGATCAAATTTGTACTGTATTGTATAGCCAGTATACAACCATACACAAGAATACCAAAATAAAAGTTATTAAAAAATGAAAAGAAAGAGATAATGTGGTCCTCTAAGTAATAATTCTAGAGGGATTGACTCACAAAATATTCCAATGTAGAAGGAACTTCAAAAAGATAGTGTAGAAGATCACTATATAAAACCAGAAATCTAGCTATAACAAATAAATAACTAATTAGAAAGTGTAATGAAAAATATATTATGCAAAACAACAGTATCCAAAACACTCCGAAAAAGAACATTAACAAAAATACACATCATCTTCATCAAAGCAAAGATAAAAATGTGCTGATAGACTTAGATATAACATGTCCTAAACAGAGCAATATACCATGCTTATGTATAGTGAACACAATATTATACAGATGTCAATTATCTTTATTTTGATTTAGTGCCTTACCTGATTGAGCTGGCCTCAACTCAGCAGAGAGGAGGTGGCCCAGAACCTACAAAGGGTCAAGATAAGGTACTAAGTGAAGACTGAGGGCACCATGCACCCAAGAAGAGGGACTTCACAGAGCCCCAACCCTACTGTCAATCTTGGGAGGTCCCAGTCACTTCAGTCTTCATCTTACTTCCTACTCTGGACACTCAAGGAAATGATCCTTTTTCTGAGGCTGGCTGATTCAGCTCAGCAAAGGGAGAATTCTCAGTGCCTGAGAATAGTTAACATTCACCTCACTGTAGGTGAGTCCTCTAAGAACTGCCTCTCCCCCAGAACACAGTGAAACCACAGAGCCCCACCACTGCTGGGATGCAGGAAGGGCTGGGTGGGCGTGTCCAGAAGTGGCTTGCCCCGGATTCCACTTCACCAGGCTGTTGGGGTTTGGGGGATGAGGCTTAGGCTAAGAGGTATGGCTAAAGAAGTCCTGGGATCCTGCAGGTGTCAAGGTGAGTGCGTTTTGTTAGAACTTTTGGGAAACTCCCTGCCTAGAACAGAGATGATCTTAGAGACCTGCCCTGCCTTGCTCCCACTGTCAACCCTTTGAGGCTCAAGGTACAGCTGTTAGGCCTAATTACCTCTCACTTCCTCTTAGGAATCTGTGGGATGGGAAGCCATGGTCTGAATGGGGAAGCTTCAAGTCAGCAGAGGGAGGACTCAAAGGATTAATCAGGAGTAAAATTAAAATACTGAATTAGAACTGAGGTGATAAGCTCCCATAGAACAGGGCCCGATGCCCCATCCACATCTGTCTTGTGGGTTTCTAAAGCAGTACCCTAACGAGAACCAGCAGAGGCGTCTGTTCTTGGAGTCAAGGTAGATTCTCCCTACCAAGGCTGTGAACCCTCTCTAATCCTTCATCTTCTAGGGTGACCTCTTCATCAACCCAGAGCCATCATGCCACCAGGTCAAAAGAGTAAGCTCCATGACCGTGAGAAATGCCACCAGACCTGTGGTGAGAACCAGAATCTGGAGACTGCCCAGGCCACTGTGGCAGAAGGAGACTCTCTCTCTTCTGCCAATCTTCTCGAAGGAGGTAGACCCCATAATTTGCCTACTTCTGGGACAACTAGCATTCCTAAGGAACTTCAGGGAGCCCCATCCACCACCAGTACTACTGTAACTGTTTTATGCACAAATTCAAATGAAGACATCAACAGCAAAGATGAGAAAAGTTCAAATTCTTCAAGGAAAACTGAAGACACTTTCAAAGATCCTTTCAGCAAGAAGGTGGTTTTGTTGGTGCAGTTCCTGCTGCAGAAGTATCAAGAGAAGGAGCCAATTACAAAGGGGGGCATGCTGAAGTATGTTATCAAACACTACAAGTATTTCAATGAGATCCACAAGAGAGCCTCTGAGCACATAGAACTGGTCTTTGGTGTTGATTTGAGGGAAGTGGATCCCATCCGGCACTGCTATACCTTTTTCAACAAACTAGATACCACCTATGATGTATTAATGAGTGATGAAGAGAGTATGCCCAAGACTGGCCTCCTGATGATTGTGCTGGGTGTCATCTTCATGAATGGCAATTGTGCCCCTGAAGAGGCAATCTGGGAGGTGTTGAATTTGATGGGTGTATATGCTGATAGGAAACACTTCGTCTATGGAGATCCCAGGAAGGTCATCACTGAAGATTTGGTGCAGTTAAAGTACCTGAAGTACAGCAGGCACCAACAGTGATCCTCCATGCTATCAGTTACTGAGGGACCCAAGAGCCCATGCTGAAACCAGCAAGATGAAAGTCCTGGAGTTTTTAGCCAAGTTCCATAGTACTATCCCCAGTGCCTTCCCATTCCAGTATGAAGAGGCTTTGAGAGATGAAGAAGAGAGAACCCAAGCCTGAGTTGCAGCCAGGGTTCATACAGCTGCCATGGTCAGCAACATTCCAGGGTCACGGCCAGCAACTTCTCCCATGCTAAGTGAAATTTGAGGCTGTCCTTCACTTTTTGTTTGAAAAGATCTGGCAGTGTTCTAATAGTGATTAGCCATGTTGGGGCTGGGTGGAGTAAGTGTATACTATCTTTGTGTTCCTGTTATATATTGGTAACTGGAATTTTACCTTTCTTTTATTTTCCCCATGGTTATATCTCAAGCGTTGAAGTCTGAGGAAGAAAAGATAAATCAACATTCTAGTAGTGAATGGCCATGGTAGGTCTAGAGGGAACACAGTGTATATCATTTTGTGTTTCTGATGTATAAAGGTAACTTGGAGTTGCATCTTTCTCTCTTTCTTTTTTGTGCTATAGTCTAAAACATGTATCTTTTAAGAGATGTTTTTAATAACTTCAAAATCTGAATTTATTAATGATTTTGGTGACACATTTACTGCTGTTTAAGAGTGGGTATTTTATTATTCTATAAAACAAATTTGAAAACCTTTCATATTTAGTGAATCAGAACAAGGGACCATGGTATTGGAATAGACATTTCCTTAAAAATGTGAAGGCATTTAGCACTGAAGATTTTAGGATAAAAATATAGAAGGGAAAAAAGTAAAATATATTCAGGGTTTTTTTTTTCCTTTATCCATTTTTGTTTGTTCTACAAAAATACATACCTAGACTGGCTTGCCTTACTAAAGAATGAAATACAAATAAAATGCTTATGAACTAAAATTTATGCTCACTAGCTCATTCATCTCTACAATATTAATTGAACACCTGTTTTTTGAAGATAATTTCACTAGAAATGGGAAAACTAAAATACAAAACAACCTCCCCAATGTAGACTTTTACAGTCAAGGAGCAGTAATCATATAGAAAAAGATGGTGAAATACTTCTGAGACCTAAAGGATAAATAAGAAGTAAGGAAGTACAGAGTGGTTTGGGAAAAGTGCAGGGGATGATATTTGGCTAAAAACAATAAGGAATAAATTCCCTGAAGAAAGGTCCTTTGAGGCTTTGGGAAACTACAAGTTTCTCATTAGAATATACTTCCAATTTGAATCTGTGGAACTGGGAAGCAGAGGCCAGGTACTCAGGTAGTGTGTCTCAGTGCTGAAACACAAAAGTCTAGAATGAAAACCTCTTCTTAAGAGTTAATTTGGTGACATCAGTGAACCAGAAGAACACTTCCTTCCGGGGTAGAAATGGATGGTGTGTCCTGTTCTCTTGTTCATATTAGGTTGAACACATAGCACAATCTAGTTGTTTTAAGCACAGTGTCTCCAGGGAATTTCTGAGAAATAAATGTGAAACTCCCTTGAATTGGGATACCGAGAAGCTACTGTGTTGGTTCTCTTTGCCCTGAACTGAGATAGTCAGATTCCAATGCTTTAAAAGGACATTTTACTTGTTATCTTGAGTGTAATTTGGCTGACTCTAAGGAAAAGCTCCATATCTGATGAGAAAATGAATAAAAATAAGAGTGGTTTGGATGGAAAGGCACTTGAAAGGGAAGTTGTTGGTCTGTTACACAAATTCCAGGACCTTGAGTAACATCCCACTGGAGAAGGCTCACTGTATGTAAATTAAATGACTTATCCTCAAATGAGGAAAATTTTATTTTGTTTTATTTGCTGAATAGATTATGTGCTAATTTGGTATTAACTATCCTAGTAAGCTATATATTCTCCCAAATTAATAAAAAAAATAAGTCTTTTCAAAGAAAACAATGATATCATCTGTAAGAAAAACAATTATGTGATAACTATCACTCGTTAAAAGCCCAATATTTTCCATCATTCTGCTAAGTGCTTCATATCCAATACATAAATTCCAACCATCCTACAAGATAGGGATTTTCAGACATAATTTGTAGAACTTGTAATTTTAAATTCACATGGCTGGTAAGTGTCAGAGGTGGGACTACAGCTTTGGTATAATCTGGCTGGAATTTATGTAAAGCTCAGACTTTTTTACTCTTCCTAACCTGAAGCAGATCTTTTGTCTCTTAATTCACTATTCTTCTCACTATTCCAAAATGTACTACAGAGTATTAGAAAGAAAGAGTTCTAGCTGGGCTCGGTGGCTCAGCCTGTAATCCCGCGCCTTTGGGAGGCTGAGGTGAGTGGGATTGCCTGAGCCCGCGG